TCAACAGAGGGGGGAAGGGGAACACTCACAGGCGCCACTGCTTGTGGCACGTTCAGGCTAGGGACTCCGTCCACCGAGCGGGGAGTGGTGAATTGCCCAATGCAGACCACGGGAACCTGGAATTGTTCCCTAGCGATGTCCATCTCCATGCTACGCCCGACATTGCTTGAAGAAGCCATGGGTGCTAAATCTTAAAAAGGGAGTTGTAGAAGCTAAGGGGAGGCTTTTTGAAGCTTTCCCACAGACGGCGCCAAATGATGCGACACGATCCAGGCACTCCTAGCTGGCTGTGGATTGGCTCCTTGCTGGCAACGGACGACACCTGAGAAGATGGAAAAGAAGGAATCCCGGGGGTTTACCTGGTGGAAATACTCCGATGCTTAAGTCAGAACGCAGGGGAAAGTGAAAAGAAGAGTGCGAAAGCTAAGAGTGTAGGTCGCGCTTTATCACTGTGCTTGAGAGATTAGCTCGCAAGCAAAGATGTATTCAGTTAGAGTATGAGATGCAGAAGTATTCAAAAGTCTGAAGATCCTTTTCCCTTCTACCTCAAGGGCTTTTATAGGGGCGTTGTTGTCAGATCGGGCATAAGCGCCACTGGGCCCCTGCCACAGCCGTTACCTGCCAGGACTACGCAAGTGGTCGTTGCAACGTACCCCTTGCTCGGATGGGTGACACGTATCCAAAGGGCAGGCACTTCTCCGCCTGCTGAGAGACGTAGGCATAGGCTATTAAAAGAACACGGACTGAGCTGTCARTGCACAGTTTAATCGATACGGTCTATGAGAAGCTTCCTSAGAAAAGCTCGCGCTTTTCACTTGCGAACTATTTTGTAGCGAGCCTAGGAATAGTCGAGGGTTGCCCTTCCAATGACTTGTATGTAGTATAATTTTGACCTTTTGAATCTTTATATGTAATATAATTTTGAAATTTGCATTAATCTTGTCCGTACTTTTGGTAAATTATTAACGGAGGAATTCATGTTTCATACGTTACAATCATTGGGTACTATTAAGAGAGAAACATTGACGTGTACACTGTTGATAGTTGTTACGACTTTCGAGGGACTCCGAGTCGCTGTGAAGAAGTAAGATTCTTCTATCCTTGTGAAGTAGGACTCTGAACCGTCAGATTCTACTGTTATATAWATAAGATATCCGGACTGATTGATTGGGGTGTGTGTGCGCTGGTTATGTACTCAACTTCGCTTTTGATATGGCTGTTGAGGTGCAATCAAGAGGAGGCGGAGACGGAGACGGAGGAGGAGGAGGAAAAGGAGGGATTGGGGTTGGAGAAGGAGAACTCACCACCATGGGAAATTCTCCTCTGAAAGCTTCATATGAGCCACTCCAGACAGACCAACTCCCCATCACCACTGCTACCACAGCCAGTCCGGAAGCAAAGAAACTGAAGCTCATCCCACTTATCTTTCTCATCTACTTCGAAGTCTCTGGGGGTCCGTTCGGAGAAGAGCCGGCCGTGCAGGCCGCCGGGCCACTTTTCGCTATTCTGGGGTTCATGATATTCCCTCTTATCTGGTCCATCCCGGAAGCTCTCATCACCGCCGAGCTCGCCACCACATTCCCTGGAAACGGCGGGTACGTCATATGGGCGAACCGTGCTTTCGGTCCCTTCTGGGGATCCCTCATGGGTTCGTGGAAGTTCCTCAGCGGCGTCATCAACAACGCTGCCTACCCTGTCCTTTGCGCCGATTACTTGAAGTTGGTCTTGCCAATCTTCTCTTCTGGTTTACCTCGCTACCTTGCTATTATCTTATCGACGGTGCTCTTATCTTTCCTTAATTATACTGGACTGACCATAGTCGGATACACCGCCGTTGTTCTTGGTTTAATCTCTCTCGCGCCCTTCCTCCTAATGGTCGTGATCTCGTTGCCCAGAATTCGTCCTCGCCGGTGGCTCAGTCTGGGCTCTGGAGGGTTAAAAAGTAAAGACTGGAATTTGTTCTTCAACACGCTGTTCTGGAACTTGAATTTCTGGGATAACGCAAGCACCTTAGCCGGAGAAGTCGATCGACCCCAGCAGACGTTCCCGAAAGCGCTCTTCTCGGCTGGCTTCCTCACTGTTTTGTGCTACTTGCTCCCTCTCTTATCCGCAACGGGTGCTCTCCCTTTAGAAAAATCCAGTTGGGCTGATGGGTTTTTGGCCGACGCCGCCGGAATGATCGCCGGAAAGTGGTTGAAGTTCTGGGTCGAAATTGGCGTTGTCCTATCTGCGATAGGACTCTTCGAAGCCCAATTGAGCAGCTCCTCTTTCCAGTTTCTGGGAATGGGCGACCTCGGTTTCTTGCCCCGATTCTGCGCAGCCCGATCAACCTGGTTCAATACGCCCTGGGTCGGTATCTTGGTCTCGAGCGCGATCACGCTTGGAGTATCGTTCATGGACTTCACCAATATAATAGCGTCGGCGAATTTCCTGTACAGTTTGGGGATGCTACTGGAGATAGCATCCTTTATCTGGCTGAGACGGAAGTATCCAACACTGAAGAGGCCGTATAAGGTTCCGGGAGGGATGCCGGTAGTGATTCTTATGTGTTTGGTACCAACTGGGTTTCTCCTCTTTGTAATGGCGATCTCGAAGAAGATTGTTTTTGTGCTGAGTGCTTCGCTGACTGCATTTGGCATTGCGTTATACTTCGTTATGAAGTTCATTAAAGCTAAGAGGTGGTTTGAGTTCAACAAGGCGTAAGATGAAGATGAGATTACAGTAGGTTGAATGGGTGTTGAGTCTTTTGATAATTATCTCGCTCTGGGTAATGTTGTAGATCAGTAGAAGTCTTTATTATTATTAGGATTAGTATTTGCATTATAATGGGCATTTGGTGAGGATTGAGAAGCATGAGAGGGTGATAAGGTTGCAACTGTACAGAATTTCAGATAAAGGAAACTGAAATTGGGTGATTGAGTGACTGGCTTGGGGGGATATGGGTAGGAAGAAATCTTCTGGTTTACTGGGAGTTGTAGGTGTTTCTTTTCTTGCAGTGTATATATATTATTTTCAGTTTTGAGCAATGACTTTTTTTTTTTTTTTTTCGTTCTTTAATTAAGAGATTCAAAGCTTGTGTGCACACACTCCATGGAGGGATTAGCAGAGTAGTAAGAATACATTATGCCTTGTCTGAACTGTTTGGTAAATTTGGTCTATTCCCTTCTTGATTTGTTTGCTTTCTCCTGAATCTGCAGAGCGACCCTGAAGTGTCTGGTACATTTCCAATCTATCAACCAAGAAAAAAGAAAGTGTTCTAACTATTAGTATTAGGGTAAAATACTTAAAACCTCCCCTCTCTTTTCAAATTGGACTAGGACTTCCTCTGTTAAAGTTATGTCTAACAGAGTAATAAAATGCCTCTTTTACCCTCATTGATTCTTCAAATTTTCAAAATATTGGAAACTCTGTCACCAGAGAGTTTTGGGTATCAACGGATATGTATTATCAAGCACAAGATAAGAAATAAAAAGATGAACATTCGTACTAAAAAGAAGATGAAAATTCCAAAAAAAAAAAGGGGATGSACCATTTTCAGATCTCCATTGAGAAGAAATACCTCTTTATTTCAATTGTCCAATGCGTATGCCTGAGAAAAATCAGAGTTTGCATCACTGCTGCCAATCATCCCAGACCATATGCCTTGTACAAGGCCATAATGATCAAGTGAAACAAAATCGTTCCTTTCAATTTCAAATCTTTTATTTGTATACAGTATACTTGAGAGAGAGCTCATTATTTCTTTTTTTGTATGTTGTTAGTTTCTTATTCAGCCCGTGTTTTGTTTTTCTTTTTCAAGAATTTTGATATCTATTTTTTTAGAAAAAAAGGTTGTCTGAAATGTAAATTTAAATTTCTTTTGATCACAACTAATGTTTAGTTTTGAAATTAATGAAAATCCAATTGGGTTCTTGATTCATAAAAAAACTCAGTTGCAGATACTCTGGAGATGAATATTCAATCAAGTTGATGGATTTGAAGGGTCCTATATTTTAATAAAAAAGAAGAAAGTAAACAGTTTAGTAAGCCTTATGTCATGGCTAGATTTGATTGATGCCCATTAATAAATGCAAGTCGTGAGTTCCAATGTTGATCTGGCCACAAACTCTTTTAGAGAAGAATTCTGTGAAGTTCTCTTGTTTCTCYCTCCAAGTGAGAATGATGGCTTGGGAGAGAAAAGAGAGAGAACTCATTAGTTCAGTGGACTCACTAGGAGTTTTCGGAGAAATAAATGCAGGTGATCCTGAGCTACAAGAAAATGGTTCTTGAACATTGAACCTATACCTGTTTCAAATAAGAATTGTTATAGCTTACAACAGACCTTCCAGGATTTCAGGTTTTTTTTTTTTTTTAATTTTTTTATCTTTTTTTGAGTCAAGGTAAAAGCCTAAAAGGACTATAAGAGGGAAAAATTGGGATTTTAGAAAAACTTCGATTTTAAAAAAGTTCAACTATAAGCAATTTCATGGACAGGGAGGTTTAAGTCCATCTTGAAAAGAGAGGGGAGGTCTTATTATTTAGGATTAACGTTAGGGAGGTTTAAGTCTTCCTTAGTGTTATTGATCTCTTTGTTTTGTTATATTTCATTTTTCTTCCTTATTGCTACATTCTTGTGGTTTTCTTGATCTAATGAACTCTTAAGCTTTACTTGTTAGATCCTCCTTCTCCATAGTGTTATTTTATAAGCTATGATTTTATTCTTCATTGCCTTTTTGTTTCTTAGCTTCTTTGATTACTTTTTTCTTTCTGTTGGAAAAGACTGTGTTACAGTTCTGTTCCTTTAACCCTTTTCTTTATTGTTTGATGGCAAACGTGGATTAAGTTTTTGGTCTGATAATCTTTGTTAATGATCCTGAAAATGACAGTTCAATTGTGTGCAATTTTTTGGAAGTAGTAAAAGATTAAATTTGAAGAGGTAGATTTCCTGATAATCATTTGGAGGATAGATAGGGATAATTCTATACTATTGCCTTCTTGTCCTCGTCAAGCATCAGCTGCTAGTTAGAGGCATAGTCTTTTGTGCTTTTGCTGCTTCATTTTCTGAACCTTCAACTTTAGATTGTTCTTTCCTTCGTATAAATTGTTGGTTACAGAATTTTAAAAGAATGATAACTTATAGACAGTTCACAATTAGTTGGTATCAAGTCCAATGGTCCATGTAATCAGAAAATATCATCACTCAATGTATAGTCTTTTGTACTTTTGCTGCTTCATTTTTTGAACCTTAACTTTCGATTTTTCTTTCCTTCATATAAATTGTTGGTTACAGAATTTTAAAAGCATGATAACTTATAGACAGTTCACAATTAGTTGGTATCAAGTYCAATGGTCCATGTAATCAGAAAATATCATCACTCAATGTTAGGACAGTAACTCTCTATAACATTTAGTACAGTTTATCTAGAAAAGTTTTATTCAACCTCTATATTCTGGAAGTTGTTTTGGTCAGTTTGTCAAAATTTGTTCTCATAATTGATTCACATTATACTCTTGCCTAGTTAATTAAAATTATTATGTTCTTTGAGAGTTTCCAATGTATAATCATGGCAAACATGAAGGCAATGTTATGCTTAGTTTTCCAGGCCCAGTGGAACAGGGGAAGTCTTTGATAGCAGAATTGATCGCTCTAATACAAGGTTTAAATTGCTGCATCAATAGGGATTAAGGGATGTCATAGTGGAGCTGTGGAGGGAGACTGTCAAGTGGTTATTTTCTGGATGAAAGGTCAAGAACAAATACCTTGGGAATTTAAAGCTTTGGTAAGGATGGCCATCTCACTAGGGTCCTCCCTTAATGCCTTGTTCAATTGGATCCCTAGAAGTGCAAATATGTTAGTGGATTCTTTAACAAGAGATGGAGTGGGGAGGAATTCTCTGCTGTGGGGTTGCCCTGGACCAGGCTGTAATTTGTAGAAAAGATTTCTTGGTAGGGGCCTAGGGGCAGGGGGGTGGGGAATTTGTTTCTGTCATATACAGTGTATTTGTTTTTCTGATGGTTGTAAACAGTATGACTTGATGAAACCTATTTTCTGTTATTTATCAAAAAAAGGTATAATCATGGAAAACTGATTATACATTATAGTAATACAATTTTCAAACCATTTATAAAAAAGCAAAAAATCATGGCAAACTGATGCCTTTCCATGCTAATGAAAAGGGCTATATCATAACCTAAAGTGTATTAGTTGGGAAGCTGGATTAACCAATACAGTTGCCTCAATATACCAGTGACAAGAAATTAGTTTATACTTCTTGTTTTTCCTTGTGGTTTTTTAGGTATAATGGTGTCCTTGTGGATAAGTTTAGGTTCTAAGAGGACTTATCTTATGGTGATCAAAAAATTTCCTGGACTCATCCTATTTCCAACTTTTGAGGTCATCATTTTGCTCCTTTTTTTCTCATTTTATTCATTTGGTCTCTGTTGGAACCTCTTGTTCTACAAGGGTCTAAATGATCCCTAGAATAGTTAGCTTAGAATATCTTAGAGATGCTTTGATAGAGGGGTCTGGCAGTGGTGTTTGTATTTTTAAGTCTTATGATGTTTCCCTCATGCTGACATCTTATGCCATCTAGATGGGGAGTTGATGAACTGCTTCTTTATCCATTACTCCAATATAAATGTGCCTTTTGATTTGGGATCACTTTTTTGGTATCCTTTGATTCATTTACTCCTTTCCTTAGGATATCCAGAACTTCCTTTGGGAATTTAAACCAGTTACCCTTTTAGTACTCAACTAGGATCATGTGGAGAACCCTCCTGCTGCAAGAAGTAATCTGGTGTATGTATATATATATATATATATATAATCTGAAACCAAGCTCACCAATTACCCTTGGTAGTCAAGTAGGATCATGTGGAGAACCCTCCTGCTGCAAGCAGTAACCTGGTACATGTGGGAGAAGAGAGATGCTTGGACACACACACACACACACACACAAAACCAATCTCACCAAGATGATGGGGTGATTGAGTGGTTTCCATTGGAGTTCTTATTGGATTTTGATATCATATGCTTTCAAAGACACAATTGTTCTCTTTTCTTATTGAGTAACAGTCTATTTGCTCACTTAAGTCAACCATAAAATTTATTGTCCTTAGGTGATCCAACCAAGTGAGTGTTATTTAATTTTGATGATTGCTCCCTGGGAGGCACTTTTGGAGATAGCCAATGCATGGTGATATTCATTTTCTGGGCCTGAGAGGATTGTGATTAGGTGAGGGTTAAGTTGTCCTTCTCTATGGTCCTTGACTTGTCCATCTAGAACCTTGTACTGTTTGAACAGAGTTTTTTTTTTTTTTTTTTTTTTTGTGTGTGTGTGTGCATTTCTGCATTGGTCATGCTTCATGAATTGTGCTTATTTTATAGTTAATTTGTCTATTTCTTTAAGAGAGAAATGCTAGTAAAGAATGAGTTTGTGAAACTCATGGATTCCTTTGTGATGTCTTTTTTGGGTCCAATGCCAAAGAAATCCAAGAGTAACATAAACTCATTTTTTGCCAGAATTATAACCAAAATCATGCCCTCATTATTGATGCAATCGTAATATGTCTATCCTTATGTAAAACATTGGTTGAAGCCAATGTTTGACTGAGTTAGGTGTATGAGGTGATGGTTCTTATTAATGACCTCATGAATTTTCTCTCCACAAACATATTATGTAGGATTTTGATTTTTTTTTTCACTTCCCTTTCGATCTTGTCTTGGTTCTTATTGTTTGAAATATGTGCTTATTATTACTTTTTAGAGTTATCTGATGAACTTCAGTGTTGTTGTTTAACTTTTGAAAAGCCAACCAAGTTGCATTTATATCTTTCTTGGCAGTTGACAGGCTTATTATTAGAGCTCAAAATTTCAGTGAAGTTTAAGAAGGTTGTGGCTATTGTTCCTTCCCCTTTGTTATTTGTCTTTTCTATTACTGTCAGGTTTCTTGAAATTAAAACTTAGTACATCAGTACCTTTCTGCAGTCCCTCTTTGCTGAATATCTGACTGTTGTGATGTTGCAGTGGATAGAAAAACACTGTTTG